TGGATCAGGGTCTGATCAACCAGGCTGTTACTGTTGGCTGCACACAAGCTGACACACAAACCACAGCCAAGTTGGTCAGGTACTGACTTTAGGTGCCTGTCCGGTGCCTTCTTCAAGACAGCCAGGGGTCTATTGGTAATCCCCCTTATGTATGCTGGGAGGCAATTGAACAATCTTGGGCCCTGGACACTTATTGTGTTGTCTCTCAATGTACTTGTGGCACCCCTGCTTTACATCGGGGGAATGTTGCATCTCCTGCCGAGTCTTTTGCTTTCATAGGGAGTGATTTTTTTGTGCAGGTTTGGTGCCGATCCCTCCAGGACCTTCCAAGTGTATATTATCATGTATCTCTCTCGCCTGCATTCAAAGGAATACAGATCAAAGCCCTTCAACTGTTCCCAGTAATTTAGGTTCCTTATCGTACTTGTGTGTGCTGTGAAAGTTCTTTGTACACTCTTGGCATATCCTATGTGTACGATTTATCCTAGCTATCAACTATGCCAACAAAATGCCCTGAAACATACATCTTAATACCTGAGGGCTCAAAACACACTGAATCTACTATTAGCTTCAAAAATAGTGTCACCATTATTATTTACTACCACCCTCAACTGTTAGCACTACAAATTTTATACCGGTAGTCTTAAGATTTGCATTGTTAAGACTGAACCTTTTCTATTGCTGGTGTTAATTTATCTGGTCACCTTAACTACCATAACTGTTAATAGTACAGTGGAACCTCGAGTTTCAAACTTAATCCGTTCCAGGAGCTAGTTCAAAAGTTGAAGCAAGATTTCCCATAAGAAATAATGGAAATAAAATTAATCCATTCCAGAAACCCAGAAATGTTAAAAAAAAAAAAATACATTTTATAGAGATTACATTATAGTTTTACATACACACAACAAACATACATAGTACTATTAGTACTACATTAATAAAAATTTAAATGACCATATAAAATACTTTTACTTACCTTTATTGAAGATTGGTGATGGCATCTGGAAGATAAGGAGGAGGAGAGAGGGAGTTGGGGTTATTGTTTGGAAGGGGAATCCCTTCCTTTTCTGGGATTACTTCCCTTCTTTGTCTTTTAATGGCACTAGGACCAGCTTGAGAGTCACTGGACCCCTGTCTCACAAAATAACTGTCCACAGTCCTCTGTTTCTGGTGCCTCTTTAAGATTTCCCTAAAATGGGACATGGTTCTGTCACTGAACTTATTGCAAAGATGGCTTGTTTCAGCTTGCTCAGGGTGGTATTTCTCCACAAACATTTGCACATCATTCCACTTGGCACAAATCTCCTTAATCTTTGAAGAAGGCACCTCATCCACTTCCATTTCCTCCTCCTCTGAAGCAAGTTCCTGAACTGTGGTCTGATACTGTTCCAGATAAAGCTCTTCCAGCTCTTCAGTGGTTAGCTCTTCCCTGTGGTCCTCCACCAACTCTTCCACATCCTCATCACTCACCTCCAACTCTTCCACATCCTCACCACTCGCCTCCAATGCCACAATTCCTTCCACAACAGGTAGAGGGTCGGCAGGGTCAGGGTCAGCCTCAAACCCTTCAAAATCCCTCTTTTGGACACAATCTGGCCACAACTGTCTCCATGAAGAGTTCAAAGTCCTGGAAGTCACTCCCTCTCAAGCTTTACCTTTAATGCTTATGCAGGTGTAGATATGTACTGAAGTGATTCCTCCAGAACTCTCTTAAGGTCAACTTACCTGCCATAGCTTTACCCTTCATCCACACCAGCAACAACTTCTCAACGTGATCGACTGTCTGTGGTCTATTTTCAGTTAGTATATCAACATCGGCTTCCTTGATCTGTTCTTTCTTTGCCAGGATAGAAGTGATGGCTGACTTGTTTTTCCCGTACATCCTGGCAAGCTCAACAGGTCGCATACCACTCTCATATTTTAGTATTACAGGGGAACCTCTACTTACGAGTTTATTCCATTCTGTGACCTTGCTCACATCTGGATTTGCTCGTTTGCAGAGTCAATTTTCCTCGTTTAAATTAACTGAAATGGAATGAATCTGTTCCAGTGGAATTCAAGGCACGACAAAATACTTCAATAATTTCACTATCAACTCTACAACTTATTTATCTATCAGAATTCATCTGATATGACATAATAAACAATATTAATAACATAGAGACATGATATATACACTAAAATGAAAAAAAATACAAACATTACGTATGTGGCTAGTGGTGGTGACAGCGGCCATTTTTGTTGTTACCAGGGTACAACAAGGTTGTTTTCAAGGTACAAGGTCTGCCACTGCTGCTTCATGTTGTTTGCCACTGCTGCTTCATGTTGTTTGCCACTGCTGTTTCATGATGTCTGCCACTGCTGCTTCATGTTGTCTGCCACTGCTGCTTCATGTTGTTTGCCACTGCTGTTTCATGATGTCTGCCACTGCTGCTTCATGTTGTCTGCCACTGCTGCTTCATGTTGTCTGCCACTGCTGCTTCATGTTGTCTGCCACTGCTACCTCATGATTTCTGCTCCCACTTTTGCAAGCGTGTTGAAGAGCTTTCCAATATGTGAAGGGTGAGGGGCAGTGCCACTCAGACAGGTACTGGACAGTAACATCATTTGTTTACTCTTGAACATTGCCAAAGAATCGAACATTTCTACTATTTTGAGCTCAATTTAGAGGTACTTTTCGTATATCTTCCATTCTATCAAATAAGACCATAAAAACGAGAATACGACCAAAAAAACATACAAAAATATACCGCTAAGAGGAGGACAGTGGCTGGGAAGTGAACTCCGTTATTTATGGTCCAATTTCTTTCATTTCTGGTGTACGTTATGAAACATCTTTCCATCATACATTGCCCAAGTTTCAATAAGATAGTCCAACAAATAACTGAGATCAAATTCCTTAGATCAAGAGCAAGAGCCCCTCACCAGTGTCAAGGAACCTCCCATGAGGCCTGCTTGCATCTGGAAATTTCGCTCGCATCTGGATGCAAAAAATCGACCAAGCGACTGCTCGTATCTGGAAAAACTCACACGTATATGCACTAGTAAGCAGAAGTTCTACTATATTTCCTTCTTCATGTCTATGGTGTTTCTCACATTCTTTACCACAGGGGTACCACTAGCAAGTTTCTTTGGGCCCATGGTAGCTTATTTCACAGTCGTGCAAGCACCAAACCCAATGAATAGAGAAATATTTGAATGAGCACGCAGGTTAGTGTTCACTGAAGCGTCAACAAAGCCAGACTGGCTCGTGGGGACGAGGACAGAGCGGACAGGTGGACAGGTCCAGTACCCGGTGGTTCGAAAGATGGGGCGCATTCGATAGTCGGGGCAAAATTGGTTTGAAAAAGTGGTTGAAACTCAAAGTGTTCGATAGTTGATGAGTTCGAAACTCAGGGTTCCACTGTAGTTAGTTTTAGACCAAGATTGCAATAAACTTAACCTACTCAAAATGTACAACATAATAGTGGCATTTTTGTGCTTAACAGTATTTTATTACATGTAAACTACATTTTATATACTGTAGAAAGAAATAAAGTTTGTTTGTCCGGATGTGTACTATATCTCAATTTTGTAACCCTCTCATTAACAGTCTAGAAGGGAGGGAAGGGGTTTACCTAGAGGGAGTTCCAGAGGTCAGTGCTCCCACAGTGCCAATTGTCTGCAGCTCTTAAATTATGAAATTAATATCTCATGACTGTCCAATTGTCTCCTGAAGCAGTGGACATGGTCCACTGATGAAGACTAGCAGACACTAAGAATATGTGTATTGTAACCTGTAGTTCTAGAGTACAATACTGTACTGTATAATAATTCTATAGTGCTCTACGTAATTTTACTTAAGTTTTCATGGTGGAGAGATAAAGTGTAACTGCCATCGTCAATACTGATGACTCAGAATAACATTCTGAATCATCAACAACATTTATTCTGAGTCAAAGAAGCTTTACAGCTTCTCTGACTACATTATATAGTCAGATGTAGAGAGCTGAAAAGATGTATATTTTTGAGAACCACACATTTTCTCTTGGCGCCACCACTTGCTTTAGAAGCTACAGATAATTGCACCTTGCTTTTTATATTAATAGTCACACAAAATGCTTTAAATCCAGGGAAAATCAGAGACTGAATGATGAGTGTACACACGAGTGAACACAAACAAACTGGCGTGGGTGGCCTACAGCTCCGGGAACAATGAAAATGTTGAGGTTCTGGATATGGCCACTATAGCCTATACTGGACAGATGGAGTTTGCAGACTTGCCCCAATGCTTCAGAAAACAACCAAACACTATCGCTATGGACAAAATGCAGAATTACCTAATTCTGTCCAATACTTAAGATCATATGTCTGGCCAATATTTTGTCCAAAACTGTCTATTAATGAAAGGTTTTACTGCATTTTTATATAAAATTATCATTATAATTAAAAATAACTGCAGAATATCCATACAATATTACAAAATATATTTCTCATCATTCTTTATTGACAAAATAAAATTTAATAACTATTTTTGAAAAAAAAAAATTACAACAGGTCTAATAACTTAATTTCTCATAATCTTTTATAATCCGTCCATCAATGCTAACTTGAAAAAGTACACAGGTTTTGCTGAAGTTCTAAAAATTATGATATGGAAATTATTAATTAGCTAAATTAAATATGTATAGATGTCTGTGCATTATCTAAATTAGTCTCTCATGGAAAATGACATGACAGACACAGTAATGGCTAAAACACAAAATTTAATACATAAACTAAAAGTTTGCAGGACGGGGTCTTGTAGAAACACTTCCTAATATTTTCCGGCTGTATGGCTAATAGATATTACAAAGACCCCAACGGAATTGAGTCACTTTCTCTGATTTATGGGGTCATCCCTAGGTAATGTGCACGTTACTAATGTATTAAAATTATAATATCCCGAAACTTGTGTGAATAAGTTTTAGATATAGGTACACATAAGTACAATCTTACATAGTAAAATATGCATAAATTACCTAGGATAACTCTCTCTTCTTGAGTGTCATCTTTAGCGGGTACACAAAAAAATGCAGTAATGCAGGTGATAACCAACGGGGAATGAAGAGAAAACTGTAAAGTGAACTGAGTTGGTGATGTTGTTGGGGGTTATAAGGGCCACCAGAAATGAAGTTGTGGTTGGGGGTTTAAGGGCCACCAGAAATGACGTTGTGGTGAACCCGCCTCCCAGTTTCTGCCGAATCTGTTCCCCTCAAGGGACAGAATCCTTGAGGCTTTATAATCCCTACGGGTTTAGCGACCCACACCAGTCGACTAACACCCAGGTACCTATTTTACCGGTAGGTGAACATGGGCATCAGGTGTCTTAAGGAAACACGTCCTAATGTTTTCACCCGTACCAGGGATCGATCCCTGGACCTCAGTGTATGAGCTGAGTGCGCTACCAATCAAGCTACGCTACACCTCAGTACGAGGTTCATTAAAATGCTGCATGGTAACCTGTTCACCACCAAACACTTTAAGGCTGCATGTAACCACGTTCACCGCAAATCAAGGATACTCTCTTTCTTAAAATAGGGATTAAAAGTCAACTCTCACTGTACAGTATATACACTAAGAGAATTATACATCTGGTTGTATATATCCTGTTGAACGAGACTTGTCTACATCGTCACATTGTACTGGGTTACCCTAGCTTAATAATATTTAATAAATCTGGCAAATTGGAACTTGCACTGATCAAGGACCCCAGTCACTTTGACCCCTTTTTGGGTTATTCTATGTAATCTACACATATCCTGCTATGTATGATAGTTTATGTAGCCGTATTTACTTGTATCTGTACCTGAATAAACTTATACTGCCCACTAACACAGCAAATTTTCTTTTGAGGATTATATACCAGCAGTGAAAATTTCAAGTGAATCAAACGAGACAATCTCAACTTACAGCATAGAAAAAAAGTACCTTACAGTTTTTATTGTGAAATTGGCACCTACACACCCAAATATAAAAAAAAAAAAACTTTTTTAGAAGACTATACTTGTGCTGAGAGTTTGGAACCAGTCGGTGGAGACATTCTCACGTTATCGCACGTAAACCACTGACTCATTTTTATGTAAAAAAAAAAAAAAAGGCAAATTGGCACCTACGCATCTCAACCACAATCTGTTCCTTCCCCTAATGAGGTTCAGACATGTATGCGTGGAGCCTCAGACCGACAAAATGAGACTAGTCACGAGGGAGCATTCACCAAATTCAACTTCAATAACAAAAACATAAAGTGGGACCAAGTAAACCAAGTCCTAACCGATATAAGCTGGGAAGATATACTAAGCAACACAGACCCAAACTTATGCCTAGAACAGATTAACTCGGTGGCACTCGATGTATGCACAAGGCTTATTCCTCTAAGAAAAAGGAGGAGTAGATGTAAAATAGAAAGAGACAGGCGCTCCCTTTACAGGCGACGGAAAAGAATAACAGAGCGGCTAAAAGAGGTCAATATATCAGAAATGCGCAGGGAGACACTGGTCAGAGAAATAGCAAGCATCGAACTTAAGCTAAAAGAATCCTTTAGGAGTCAGGAATCGCGGGAAGAACTAAAAGCCATAAATGAAATCGAAAGAAACCCAAAGTATTTCTTCTCCTATGCCAAATCAAAATCGAGAACAACGTCCAGTATTGGGCCCCTACTTAAACAAGATGGGTCCTACACAGATGACAGCAAGGAAATGAGTGAGCTACTCAAGTCCCAATATGACTCAGTTTTTAGCAAGCCGCTAACCAGACTGAGAGTCGAAGATCAAAATGAATTTTTTATGAGAGAGCCACAAAATTTGATTAACACAAGCCTATCCGATGTTATCCTGACGCCAAATGACTTCGAACAGGCGATAAATGACATGCCCATGCACTCTGCCCCAGGGCCAGACTCATGGAACTCTGTGTTCATCAAGAACTGCAAGAAGCCCCTATCACGAGCCTTTTCCATCCTATGGAGAGGGAGCATGGACACGGGGGTCGTCCCTCAGTTACTAAAAACAACAGACATAGCCCACTCCACAAAGGGGGCAGTAAAGCAACAGCAAAGAACTACAGACCAATAGCACTAACATCCCATATCATAAAAATCTTTGAAAGGGTCCTAAGAAGCAAGATCACCACCCATCTAGAAACCCATCAGTTACACAACCCAGGGCAACATGGGTTTAGAACAGGTCGCTCCTGTCTGTCTCAACTACTGGATCACTACGACAAGGTCCTAAATGCACTAGAAGACAAAAAGAATGCAGATGTAATATATACAGACTTTGCAAAAGCCTTCGACAAGTGTGACCATGGCGTAATAGCGCACAAAATGCGCGCTAAAGGAATAACAGGAAAAGTTGGTCGATGGATCTATAATTTCCTCACTAACAGAACACAGAGAGTAGTCGTCAACAGAGTAAAGTCCGAGCAGCTACGGTGAAAAGCTCTGTTCCACAAGGCACAGTACTAGCTCCCATCTTGTTCCTCATCCTCATATCCGACATAGACAAGGATGTCAGCCACAGCACCGTGTCTTCCTTTGCAGATGACACCCGAATCTGCATGACAGTGTCTTCCATTGCAGACACTGCAAGGCTCCAGGCGGACATCAACCAAATCTTTCAGTGGGCTGCAGAAAACAATATGAAGTTCAACGATGAGAAATTTCAATTACTCAGATATGGTAAACATGAGGAAATTAAATCTTCATCAGAGTACAAAACAAATTCTGGCCACAAAATAGAGCGAAACACCAACGTCAAAGACCTGGGAGTGATTATGTCGGAGGATCTCACCTTCAAGGACCATAACATTGTATCAATCGCATCTGCTAGAAAAATGACAGGATGGATAATGAGAACCTTCAAAACTAGGGAGGCCAAGCCCATGATGACACTCTTCAGGTCACTTGTTCTATCTAGGCTGGAATATTGCTGCACTCTAACAGCACCTTTCAAGGCAGGTGAAATTGCCGACCTAGAAAATGTACAGAGAACTTTCACGGCGCGCATAACGGAGATAAAACACCTCAATTACTGGGAGCGCTTGAGGTTTCTAAACCTGTATTCCCTGGAACGCAGGAGGGAGAGATACATGATTATATACACCTGGAAAATCCTAGAGGGACTAGTACCGAACTTGCACACGAAAATCACTCACTACGAAAGCAAAAGACTTGGCAGACGATGCACCATCCCCCCAATGAAAAGCAGGGGTGTCACTAGCACGTTAAGAGACCATACAATAAGTGTCAGGGGACCGAGACTGTTCAACTGCCTCCCAGCACACATAAGGGGGATTACCAACAGACCCCTGGCAGTCTTCAAGCTGGCACTGGACAAGCACCTAAAGGCAGTTCCTGATCAGCCGGGCTGTGGCTCGTACGTTGGTTTGCGTGCAGCCAGCAGCAACAGCCTGGTTGATCAGGCGCTGATCCACCAGGAGGCCTGGTCACAGACCGGGCCGCGGGGGCGTTGACCCCCGAAACTCTCTCCAGGTAAACTCCAGGTAAACACCGACGTAAAAAGTTTGAAGTCGATCAGAAGAGGCATTCTTACATGATCACGTGGAAAGGCGCTCATATTAAACTACTCACTTTAGTAATAAGGTATAATAATGAATAATTAGAATTTACCGCTCATATTTCTATGATCAAAACAAAGCGCTAAACCGACAAGGGTCATACATTTACCACTTTATAATCTGTCTAGTTTTAAGTAGTTTGTAAGCATTAGGATTAATTTGCCTGAAATGTTTACGCATGTTAATGGCTTTCTTTGTACATAATAACACTTTATAACGTGTAAATTATACATTGTAACCTTTGCAAAATATTAAAAATTGCATTGCCGTGGCCTGGTGGCTAAAGCTCTCGCTTCTCACGGCGAGGGTCTGGGTTCGATTCCCAGCGAGGGTAGAAACAATGGAAGTGTTTCTTTACACCGGTTGTCTATGTTCACCAATCAGTAAAATGGGAAATTGGGTGTTAGTCGACTGGTGTGGATCGCATCCTGAGACAAAACTGACTTAATTTGCCCGAAATACTCTGCATAACAAGCAGCTTTCTATATGGTAGTATGTCATTGATATCAGCTAGGACTGTATACCTTGTACATGTACTTGTAGTAAATAAAGATGTTATTATTATTACTGTACTGGCTCTCGCACGGCCGCGCAATAGTGTACAGTGGAGCTGGTGAGACTAACTTAAGCCCTGGCATTATCCCTTCCACACATAACTTTTCCTCCGTTAACTTACTCTTCTATCCCCACTTCCCTGCTCACCCAACAAGGGTCTTACCTATGCTCCCTTGATCTTGATCAGTGACATGGACTCCAGTGGAGACTAGGTGAAGGCACATAGACGAGGCATAGTCAAGTTACTGGATCTGGGGGGGGGAGGGGGGAGGGGGTTCGGGGGTCAACGCCCCTGCGGCCTGGTCCGTGACACAATTTTAAAAATAAAAGTGACAGTTGGATACCACACACTAACAATATAAACCTTCCTCGAGGTAGGATGTAACTCTGCTGAAAGTTCGAGGCTGATCTGAAAAGGCTTTACCTAGTTGTCGCACAGAAACCAAAACTGGGAATGATTTAAATAACACTGACCAGAGAGCACTTACAGAGAGCACTTACACATGCCACTTATAGCCTGAGCCTTTTCCTAATTACAGTACGGTTAGTAGCTTTGAAAATTTGAAGCCAATCGGATGAGGCATTCTCGATTTATAAATGAAAACCACGAAAGAAAAAAAAATCACATGCTGAGGTGCCCTCTCGGGGACACCCAAAAACAATCAATACACATTAAAATACTAAGAGATACTCTCTCGGGAATACCTAAAAACAATAAGAAAAAAGAACTACGAGGTACCCTCTCTGAGATACCTAAATACAATCCATAAAAAAAAATAAAACACTTCGGGGTACCAGAAGTTAACCTGGAGAAGCACTCTTGTTATCTTAGAGAGACCAATATCGTGAAAATAAGAAAGTCTGTTTTTACTTAATTTAAAAACGCCCTAGTTAAAAGTTAATATCTTTACGTATAATGTATCCTGTATCTATCCTGTGGGAGGTAGTCAAAAGATTACAAAGACAAGTAATGGGTTCAGGGACCTGGTCGTGAAATTTTGAGAGGTAA